ACTAGTTGTACTTCGAACCTATGTAGAAGATATTTGCGCCACTAGAAGGTCCATATTTAATGGACGAATTCACGATGAAAAAGCAACCCATTTCAAATTAGTCGAGGGATGTGAGTGGTACACGAAAGAAGGAAGAACCATGAGAAACGACCCAGAAATGGTACCCCTTCCTTGCCCGTTGATTTGAGCATTGATGCGACTCTCATCGCTGTGCCCTCTTCAACACTACGCTCTCTCAGCTATCTAATCACTCGCCACGTATTGAACTACGGCGAGTGATCAGATGATCGGTGGGCGGAGATCGCCGGACCCGCCAGCTTTGAGGCATGATAGGTCGCCGAGGTCAAATTTTTCCATGCGAATTGCGCGTCAGTTCGCACCCTCAGGAGGTCCGTGGGTCCCTCAACTAGGTCAGTTTCCCTTTCTTCGACCTTCATTCTAATCGTGAATTCCTCCTTTAGCAATTCGTCGCTCTGTCAAGTTTGCTAACGTTGCTCTCAGTGAGTCCTACGAGTGTTTAAAGGCAAAGTTCGGGCTCAGACCCACCTAAGAAGCCCTTACCATGGCTAGAAGTGCTGGGTACGCAAGTGCAAAGGTAGCGCCACCTTTCTACATCGAAACGCGTCACTAGGACCCTAGGCGCCATGGACTTCTAACAGACTCCACCAAACTTAACATGGTCCGCCCACCGTTCGATATCTTGTCTGCGTCGCTTGATCTGCTATGCTCTCTCTTCTCGGACTTCTCTACCACTCTCCGCGCTCACATTATCTCTCATCTCCCTGCCTGTCTTTTGAACTTCTCCACAGCAAAAAATCGTATTTCCTGTGTATTTCAGGATTTTCTTTCCTTTTTTCTCCATTGGCGGTCCACCTCTCATCCCTACTTTCACATTTGAGTGGAATCACCCATCAATGTAATCCTGATTCTTGCCTTTAAGTACATATGTATCTGTTAACCTTAAGCAGTTTTCAGAATGTTCGTGACGTTGCCTGATATATTCTACATGGTCAGCATTACAGCTAATGGTATACTTAGCATTTTTGCTAACTGTTTTCTTTTGTACATGATAATACGCAAAAGCCCACCACAGCTCACACCGTATCGAATTTTCCTTGCCAACACCGCAATTACGCAGTTATCGTACGCGGCGGTGATGATTATGGTCGAGCCAAAGTGAGTCATTACTTCCTCTTATGATTTTTTCAGGCGTCAGCTCCACTTAGGCTTAGCAATTATTATGAAACGTTGACTAACTCTGACCGAGAAGTTCTAGACCTCATAATGCACTTGACTTC